AGAATGACAACACTTAGACAAACATCCTAAAACACCCCTGTTTTGTAACCAGCATTTTTCACTTCATTTCATGTAATCGTAACAATGCTTGATTTATGCAAACATCATTTAAAATCCAATGTCACATAATTTGCTTTCACATAAATAAATTTGTCATTACGTATTTCGAGCTATAATAGTTGCTTATGTTTTAATGGCGTTGTAAACATGTCCACTTAGTGTGGTTTGTCAGGGAATGGACACGAGCTGGGGTAACCAATCCCTAAGAAGTGCCTCACAAAAGCCTTAGTTGACCTGAGCGGTAAGTAACTAATATCAATTGACAAGAATCTAATAATATTTATGAGTCATTTTGAAGAATCGCTGTGAAATTAAAGTAAAGTGGCCGCAGATATTCAGGAATCTGTATTTTCTTGACTTTTTTCGCAAAGATGAAAATGTTAAAAAGAATACGTCAATAATAGTAAAGGCTTAACAGACCACAAAGTTTTAAGAGAAAAGAAAAACATTTAAGTGGTATCGAAATCTACCTCAGCACTCCAGAGATGGATTAAAAGATGATGTTGAAGGATGTTTTTGGCATTCTTTCATGAGCTGTTGGGTCCAATATTTGAAGAGCAAGCTTTTCATGATGCCTCTCCAAAGGTTATCCTAGAGTACAGTAAGAAGTGTGATCCAGATCTCCAGTTTCAGCATTACAGAGGGGTGAACGAGCAATACAATCCTACCCGCTTCCCCTCTTTCAACCCAACTTTAAGAGCAGTGGAAATCCTTCACTGTGAATCCATTTCCAAGCAAACAGATTCAGGCAAATGAGTGGCCAGTCCCACAGTGAAGCTTAACCTTTATGTGACCACCACCACTTCTTTCATCATCGTCGTCATCATTACAATCATCACACTTTCAACAATTCATATACTCACCCCCACACCACATATATCTCACATCTCATTAACTCCTTCCTCAGATCGTCGTCATCATATCATGAATATGCATTTCAAATGTTGTCCACTACTATTCACTCACAATACAAGTCCAAATTCCAACACTGCCACTGCCACCACCACTATTGCCATTTATGATATCAACCACCACCCAGACTTAGACCAACAACAAAAACGACAAAGACAAAGGCCCTGTAAATTTTGTAAATAAAAATCAAATATCTTGTAAATGAAGAAAAAATTAATTATTGTAATTGAGAATGACAACATTTAGAAAACATCCCAAAAGCATGTTCAGTTTTGTATGCAGCATTTCTCACTTTATTTCATATAAACGTAACAATATTGACTTATGTAAATATCATTATTTAAAATCGAAAGTCAAATAATTTGCCTTTTACAAAAAACTTGTCATTATGCATTTTGAGCTTTAATAGTTGGTTATGTTTTAATGGCGATGTGAATATGTCCACTTAATGTGTTTTGTCTGGGATTTGACACAAGCTGGGGTAACCAATCCCTGGGGAGTGCCTCACAAAAGCATTAGTTGGCCTAAGCAATAAGTAACTTATATCAATTGATACGAATCTAATACTATTTATGAGTAATTTTGAAGAATCGTTGTGTAAGTAAATTGAACTGGCCAGAGATTTTCAGGAATTTGACCTTTACTGACTTTTTTCGTAAGATGCAATGTTAAGAAGGGTACGTTAACAGTAATAAAGGCTCAACAAAGAGGAAAGTTTCAAGAGAAAAGGAAAAATTCAAGTGGGATCGAAATCTTCCACCTGAGCACCCCAGAGATGGATCAACAGATTATGTTGAAGGAATTGTTTGAATTTTCATGACCTGATAAGTCCAGTATTTGATGAGCCAACTTTTCATGATGCTTACCCAAAGATTATCCTAGAGTACAGTAAGAAGTGTGATCCGGATCTCCCGAATGGTGCCTGAAACGATTAATGTCTTTGGAGGCAGCATACAGCAGCATGTTTCATGCCCTAACCGACATAGCAGAAGTGTGCCCATCAATGCCAGTCTAAAACACGTGGCCAGAACATGGATGCAGTGCCCTAAAGCGAGTCAAGACTAGAATGAACAACAGACTAAGTGTTTACATGCTTCAGTTCCTTCTAATGGTTTCTATCAATAGTCCAGAGCTTGCAACACCTGAATGCGAAGCACTGATTACAGCAGCTGTTGAAAAGTGGCATATACAAACAAAAAAAGAAGAAAAATCCCTAGGAATATTCCCATTTCCCAATCTGCAACAGCATTGCCAACCATAGTGGTGCCAGAAGTTGACGTCACTGACGTTGGAATACAAACAGAGACCCCAAAGTTGTTTCTGGCTCAGACGTTGAAGTTGCCACAGCTACTGCCTCCTTAAACCTGACTACTGATCCTAATGAGCAAGACTTAGGAGAAAACTGGCTATGGAAGTGACTGTGATGAAATTGATGTCATCCTTTTATAATCACCATTAAAATATTGTATACCTGGATGCTGGGAATGTATTAAATAGTGTAGAACATGGACAGGATTTTTACATAGCACAGGACATGGACAGTAACAGGATTTAAAGAAATTTGCACAGTTCACTATTAGTTATCTATCTATCTATCTATCTATCTAAAATGTGAAATCTTTTAAAAAGAAATTGTATACAAATTTGATCGCTAAGCAAAAAGAGACAGGTACTTTTGAATATCTTTTAAATAGATTTTAAATAGTTTCTAATTCGTTAATTTCTAAATAATAATTTCTAAATAAGACACTAGATAGTTTTCTAAATACTTTTTTTGCTCATTTTTAAATTGCATCTTTTAATGTTAATTTTTATCTTTTTATAGTGATACTGTAAAATTATTTAAATATTAATTTTCTTTTTACGTTTTATAGAGGGCCAAAAGTTTATCCTTTTTTCATAACAATGTAAAAACTTGCAAGAGGTGACAGGTCGAACATCTTCACCGGCGTGAAACCTTTGAAACCTTTTTACATATTGCTCCATTGAGGAGACCTCTTTCAGGGGATCTTACAGTTTAAAATTTGAACGATGATATCGCTTCTATATAGCGGACCAAGATACGGTTCGGTACAGTTTATGTTCAGCAACGGAAAATTGTGTAAGTGGAGCAGAACCTTTTAAATGTTCAACAGACAATTTATTCAGTTCGCGCGTATTCCTGTTGAATTTGTAGCCCGTTTATGAGATATGTCTACTCAAAAATATAATAATTTTTCCATACCTGCTGTTATGTGAGAGTAACTGCTTTTAATATCTCCGTACAGTTTAGGTTTACGCGATCTCAGAGAACAATGTTTAGCTGTACACAGCACGTAGTCCTTTTTAAAAAAATGTCTCCAGATCTGACACTGGTTTTGGGTATTTATCACGTCTAAGCATGATTTAAATACATTATGATGTTGTGTCCTTTGAATGTCGTCTTAAAACTCAATCGCTTTGTAAATGTCACTTGTAGTTTTAATATCGGAGGAGAGTATTTTAAAGCTCAATACTTTTCAATACCATTACCATGTTGTTTTTTTACCAATCAATTGACTGGCTTCTTTGTGCCACTACATTATGTGTGTAGTTAAATATAAGTTTACAAGTAAGACCGGCGGTTTCGAATCTTACGATTCTCATCAGTTGCTATGTGGTGGGATGGTTGAGGTGAACTCTGAACCATTCCGTATTGCTTGATTTAGTAAGCGTTTATATATCCACCCTGGTTTGTTTGGAGGATCGAAAATGGTGCGGTTTGATTGGTTCCTTGCAAAAAACCAATCAGGTTGCTGTAGGTTCACTCTGTGTTTTCTCATAGCTAGGTTGTGTTTTTATAAAGGTTTAAATTTGAAAAATAGGATTCTTGCCTTGCTTTTTTGTAAAGTATAAAAACATCTTGTTAAAATGTTTATGATGTATAAGTGTTCCTCAAAATGGCGAGGGACTATGTTGTATATTTTCGTTTCAATTTAAAGCAAGGCTTGCGTTGACTATACCGTTGTGTACTGTACAGAATGTAGACAAGATTATTTTTTACTGGCACAGCATGGCACCGTATAGCGTGAGTAACTGTAACGGATGACAGACTGCACATGTATAACGGCGTGAAACTTTGAGTTAACCTTTAATGTTTTGTCATTTGTAAGTTAGAGCTCTGAGTTATTTTTATAAAAAGGTTGAAATAATAGATTTTGTTAGAGCAATTGCGAACAGTGCAGAAATCTATGCAGCGAATCATGTTTTCACACGGTTATACTTCTTTAATTGAGTGTGATTCTTATATCAGGCAATATTACCAGTATTCTACAGGAATGACCTCTACTATGTCGTGCCCCTACTTCTATAAAAAATCACTTCACAAATGTAAACTATGGGCCTTAAAAACATGTACTGGTATATCTCCTCATGAACGTCAGTGGTTACAAAATTCTCCACGTAGTTCTCGCCAAAAACGGGATCTTCCCTGGGCTTGTGAAGCTGGATTATTAGGTTTGCCAAAATTGTTCTATACCAAAGTTTTAGGAGGATCCTGTGACCCTGGAGTTAATGTTTTCGGGTTAATGCAAATTTTTATAAAATTTCTAGGAGCCCAAAAATCATTGGAACAGATGGTCAAAACTGTTAACGGCAAAACCGTTTACCTCGCAAAAATAACAGACAAATTGGTTACCAAGGTTAATAACCTGCAATCATCCCTTCGTACGCTTGATTCTACATTCCTAGAATGGAAGACAAAAATACAAGCCTTTGCCACCCACGAAAACTGTCACCACAATAACTATATGGAATTTCTGTCAAAATGTTCCTTAGAAATAGCTAGAACCTTCTCAACACAGCTCCGTTTCACCGAAATAAATGATATCCTACATCAAGCCCACACGTTTCATAACAAGTAACTTGTCAGTTTTGCCGATCTTCCTTCGTTTTTGACCACAAGCATACAACACCAACTTCATTCACTGCCCTCACTACAACATACACTCTCTGCATTGGAGGCTGGTTACCCAATTTTGTTGCAACCGTTTGTCGATTATCAATACAACATGGCAAAATCTATGGCAATCAATATTCTTTTCACTATTCCTGAACTGACTCCTAAACATGCGTTTTGCACTATTGAATATCTGACTCCGCTAAAATATAATATTTCTGGCACGTGTTTTCAGGGTCCAATTACTCGCGATGATTTAGCCTTGTTACATTGTCCACACGCTGAATTTATTTTAAAACGTACACTATTAGACAACTGTTATCACACAGACGATACTTTTGTTTGTCCCCAACACATTTTGAAGACAGTCAACGATACTCGATGGTTAGGCCTACCTTGGAATAAAAACGCAAAACTGAATTTCGTTCGGCGATGCCAACAAGCCCCGGACTGTTCAGACCTTCACAATTTATACCATTTAGGAGGCCGATATTATTTGTCTACTCAGCAAGGGTTACTACCCGTTTACAACACTACTGACGGTTCCTCTCATTTAATTTCACTTACACCATTAACGGTCTACCATTTTCCTTGCGAATTAAGTTTCACTACCCAACAAACCAGTTTAGGTACCTACCCTCATAGTATAACTCTTCATTTACCGATATTCAGTTCTAATTCATTTCGTTACATTCCGTGGCAAAATGACAACGATGACCTTTTAAAATTACATTACCAATCGCTTAATTTTACACCTCCACTTCAATTCGATAATCAAACACTCCAATCACTTGACCACACATTTCGTCTGCTTGACGGACAATTCACTTCTCAAATTGCCACAATACAACAAGACCTTTCCCATTTACATTCTGTTAGTTCCACCACACTTAATGATCGGCTTACCTATATTGCTCTCTCACTCACCTTGCTGAACACTTTTGTCATCATTGTCTTGTATTGTCGCATGAAACGACCGCCAAATCAACCATTGTTTAGTACTGTTCTGTTTCGGCGCAAACAGTTTCCTAAAAGTAGTACAAACGCCGCCTCACACATCGCCTGTCAGTGAAAACGACATCAAGCTTGAAGCCTCGCCGTCGACTACTAATACTGACCCTAGTCAAGAAAATGCCACTTGTTCCACCTGTAATAAGCCTGTTTCAGTTTAATTCGTTTCACGCTATCTATAAAAAAAAACCCAATTCAGCATTTGTTTCCTATTTGGGAATCACTCTGGTACTTTTGACAATCCACAATTTCAATGCAAATTTCCGTCTTTGTTTTTGTTTCCAATTATTTATACTGCGTTTTCCTTTGTCCTAGATCGCCTATCATCTCTCAGCATGGATTTTCATCAATCTCGTCCAATATTACAATTAGCTGAGTCTTCAGACAAAACTCATATAGTTCGAGTTCCAGCCTACTCTCCTTTTGCAGTCCGTTTTATGAAGCGTTTCTGAATAGGCATGACACTAATTTTACAACCTCATCTTGCAGTCACTGCAGGTCTGAGCATTCCGTACAACAGTTTTGTTTGCCTTCTGATTATTCACCCGCAGAAGTAAATTTCTTATTCGATTTTCTGGAGCGTACACCTTAGGCAACATTTGCACCTGACTTATTTCTATCAGTAATTCGCTCATGCGATTATTTGTTAATTCCTCATCATGTTATTTTCGATCTAATCCAGCTGTATATTCCTCGGCATTTACGCGTTCCTTCTCGGTTTACAATGGATTTAGTACAAACACTCAATTCTACTAGCTATGCCCTTTTTGGACATGAATTCGCACGTACCTTTCCCTTGTTAGTTTGGTTTTTCACTTGACGCGGTGAAGTAATACTGCTCGTGGCTCCACGTCAAACTAACAAATATCTGTAATTTTTTTTTATTCCTCCATAGTTGCCCTAATGCCTAAAGTAAGAAGAAAGCACCGCCCAGACCGTGCAAAGGTGCACTTAACATCTTTTCTCGAAACTAAGTGTTTCGTCTGTCTGGATTCACCTCACGAACACCCAAGCCGGCCTCTCTTGTGTTGTCGAAAGGACATACACGAGGAGTGCCTTCTTGAGTGCTTGCGTTTTGCCAATCAGGCGGTGGGAGACTCCTGTCCTCACTGTCGGGCGCCAATCCAAGCGTAACATGTTTCGAGCCCAAATGTTCCTTTGGGACCAAATCCTTTTTGTTTTCGGAGGGTTCATTATCCGCCTCCCCCACCACCGCCACCCGATCCGGATGAATGGTTCGCGTATTTTGGCATCCCTTTGGAGCCGGATGATGATCCCTTTCCCCGGTACGTTCTTCCTCCCGCCCCGCCTGGTTGGGTAGAATATATGAGCCAGTTTTAACTATATATACCCCTTGGGTAACGTCACTCTTCACCGTTAACCAACGAAACAGTCACTCTTACCTTGCATGTTGACGGTTTCCCTCCTCCTTTTAAGCGTTGCCCAAATCAATATTATACACAAAAATGTTAAACACCACATAAACCAAAACATAAAAATACAAAATGTACCCAAAACCCAACAACAACAAAAAAACCTTAACGCACAATCCATATTTATCCGCCTTGTTTTTACCTTGTGGTGTTGGGATTTTTCATTGTTATATGCAGTTATTGTTAGTATTCCTTTTCCATTACACTGATTGTTCTCTTCCTTATTTGGAGCTGGGGACAGCTCCGTCTAAGTGGGGAGTATTTGTTAAACAATAAAAATGGAAGCGATGGAAAATGTTCGCAGTGCGCACGTTTTTGACTTAACATTATTAAAGGAATTTTATTCGGTGTTTGGAATTTATTGCAAAATTCATTCGTTTCGGGAAATATTTACAGGTTAAGGAAAAATATCTTAAAAAGCAATTTGACTCATTTTACTTGGTGTTAACTCCTACGCATCAGAACTGATCAAACAACATCCTTTCTCGAAATAAGAAAATGATTTCTGTTGATTCATTCTCTTTGGTCTCGTTGAAGGAAAATGTTGATTGAAGAGTTACGTTAGCCACTTGTGACAATTGCTACAATATATGTTTATAGTGGAGTTGTTGTAAACGTTCTTGTTGATTGGTTTGAGTAAGCTACTTCACTACTTGTAGGTTTGGTTTTCTAAGGTAATTGATGATCGATAGAAAGTTTCTCCTGACATGAATTCGGTACAAAGGAGATGTACCAATTTGGTGCATCTCCACGGTAACACTTCTGTTCATGAGATATGTTTAATTAGAGCCTTTGGCAGATGACAAGCGCTGTTTATATTAAGTATTTTGTCTAGTTTGACATCCTTGACCTTAATCTGGTCTCCCTTCGATATTTACCAGGAACTACTACCCTGCTTGTTTTCTTTTAGAGTTTTAAGCGTGTTTCCTCGAGTTTTTAACCGAATTCTTGGCAGTGGATAACTTTAATTAGGCTTAGTGATTTTATAGGTGTTTTTGTAATCAAACAACTATTGTTTTAAATTCTGCCTTGTACTTTGAACTGCATTTTTAAATTATCCTTTAACTTTGCAATCACGTTCGTGGTTAAATTATGGAAAAGTTGTAGCCAATCATCTTCGATGAAGAAGCTTAACACCTTCTGTAAATTGACAACAACCTTGGATTTTCAAACTGTAATTTTAGTACTTTCCTATCTGTGAGTATGAAAAGTCTGTTTAATGGTATATACCTTGTAGTTTTTATATTGTTCTTCTAGTTTTATATTGGCCAGTTGACTTAAGCTTAGCAGTGAAAACTTCAGTTGAAGAGTCATTTCGACAAAGCAATTATCTCGAAGGTTTCATGCTAATGAAGAAGTTTCAACCAATCGGATTAGACTTACGTCAGCATTCGGTTTGTGCTAAGCAGCTAGTTTCCTGGCTGATATAAAAATGCATGTAACACTGATCTTGTAGAGAATTGTAAAATACAAGTTGCACTAACTTCGTGACACCTTACGGAAGAATTAAAGAGAGTCGATTGAACAAGAACTCGTGTGTTTGTTGTTAGAACCTGCTAGTACCCCCAGCAAGGTTCTTCAACAATATAAACATGGGTTCCTTATATTTATTAGTATATTTTGTTTCATTTCCTTCTTGCAAATGTTTTCTTATTTTATTTACGCCCTTGTAAATGTATTTGACATGGTTTTCACAGGAGGTGAACAAGTTTGTATTCTCAGTGAACCTTTCCGAATGGGTCATGTTGCCAAAAATGCTGTGCCTTTATTATTAGATGATAAGCCAGTACAGTCTTGTTGGGAAACTGCTCATCGATATTTCCGCACAAGGGAGCCATATGATGGCCCAGTTCAAGAAATTCAGTTCAGCATGTGAAAGTGGACAGCTTATTGTCAAGAGAAGACCAGGAGAAGAAGAGGACTGTTCTCAAGATTACTATCTGCCTTGCATTCTCAGCCTGTGCATTGTAAAGATAAAGGATCGTTGGAGAGAGAGTGGTGATGTGGATGATAGGACTGACAACACATCTGCTTAAGCTGTTTTTACTTCTCCGTGTAAAAACCTATCAATTGTTATGGTCTGTTTTGTAAGCAATGGCCTATTCGCCTATTTGTCCTACCCTTCCCTTTACTACCAATGGCCGAAGATACCCTGTGCTGGTGAAGACCACTCAAAAAAGTATCCTAGAGCTGTCGCCCATCAGTGCCATCTTTGCAGCAAAGGTCTCTCTTAACTAAGTGCAAAAAAGCACGCTGTACACGTTGCTTCCACCCACGAAGCCAGATCTATTACGCCTCCGAGATTCTTTACTTGACCTTGTGCCTGGACATCATGGTAGCCTTATTAGACAACAAACTGCTGGACTACAGAACTGTTTTTCCCTTCCTGTTCGTCGTTGATGTCGTGCTCTACCTCCTACTAGAGAAAAATTATTTTCAATGGCAGATTACCACCGAACCACTGTTAGTGCCACAAGGCTTCGCACTTTTTGACAGATTTCCTTCTCATGATATATGACCTATTGACAAGCAACAACATTCATTTCTTTGCTGAATTCTTTTGAACACCCAAGGCCAGTACATTTCTGCTAGTTTGGTGAACGCCACAGTTCAGGCACAAAAAATAAATACGAAAATTTAAAAATTTACATCACATGTAGAGTTTAGAAAGTTTTATTTGCTGCGCGTTTGCTTAATTTTTTCTGGTATATTTTTGGTCGTTTCCTTTTCTTTTCCTCTAATCAGCTGAGGACAACTGAAACTTAAGGTGGGACGAATGTTCAGAGAGAATTTGTTGTTTACTTATTTTGCTTTCGCTGATAAAAACATGAAAAGCTAATGAGAAAATCCTTTGATCTTTATTCTTAACTTTTCTAAGTCATAAACAACCAGAGCTGTTGATTTATTCCTCCTAGGCAAGGGAACAAATGATAAGTGGATTTCAACGGGTAAAAGCAGATACAAAAATGGCAGAGGTGCAAGAAAAAACCTCCGCCAGCAAGATCACAAAACTAAACTCTGCTTTAAATCCCATGGAAGAAGAGGAGGACCAAGAAAGCTCTCAGAAAGGATGGGGGACACAAATTATGCCCTTTTAACCCTTTCACTCCCAAGCCGGCCGGAACCGGCCGCTAAGAAATGTGCAATTATTCCCAAGCCGGCCGTAACCGGCCGCTGAAACAGCCTTTGTTTTGATGCCCTCTCACCTCCCCCGTAAGGCTTGAAACTCTAAACAAAAGGTGTCCCATTGTTTTAGACATTTCAGCCAATCATATTACAGCTACTGTGCATAATAAACTCGTGGCCTGAGGGAGCTAGAGAGAGGCGAAAACATAACATTCACAACGTCGACACTGATCAACATGGCGGTACACGACGGAATTAACGATAAGACTACAGTGAAATATTTGGACATTGCAGTGAAGAATTAGATTGAAAGGATTCATAATGTTTTAGCTTAAGCTATGGGCACCAAAATATTGTGCAATGCACAAAACATTTCGCGTCGTGAAAAAATTTTCCGCTTGTTTCCTACACGCACTACCGCTAGGTTTGTAGTTCCTTTACGCAGATCCGTAGGTGTGTAGGTGTGTTTTTACGTTCGTGTAAAACTATTTCAGTCGATTTTTAGGTACATATACAGGCATTGTAAAACTTACTAATGAAGTGTGCATTAGCCACAGAATAAAAGAGTTCTTCACTCAAGAGATTTGTAGTCGTTCAACCGT